AGCAATCGACCTGACCGAATTGCTATGTCCCTCGAGGGTTGACACACACTGGCCGGTGGCCGGATCCCAGATCCTGATTATCTCATCCCCGGACGCTGATGCAAGTCGACTTCCATCTTGCGACCAGGCAATCGAGCTGACCCAACTGCGATGCCCCTCGAGGGTTAACGTGCACTGACCGGTGGCCGGATCCCAGATCCTGACGGTGCAATCATTTGACGCTGATGCCAGTCGACTTCCATCTTGCGACCAGGCAATCGAGCTGACCGAGCCGCTATGCCCCTCGAGCGTTTGAAGACATGGACTCCAATCTTTGTCCACTAATGGCTCATTCAACACCCAACCCGGTCTCTCCTTTAGATAACGTCTTCTCGTGAGGCTCAACATAGGGCTGAATACCAGAGGTGAACTGTATACTTGAAGAGGGCAATTTTGAATTGCTAGCCTATTGTATCGAATGAATCGAGAGGCGTCTTGAACTCGATGTAAAAGGGCAGGCGGTTCGCCATTTTCCTATTATAGTAGCTCTGATGTCAGAAGCCGAGATTGGTTTCGGTATATGAGCAATTACTCACCTGAAGTAAGCCCTCGAGCTTTAGCATGGCTGCTATGCCTTGTGATATCCTTCCTAAAATGCTAAGGGCTTCAAGCCAGTGAAGATATTTATTTTGTAGAAAATCACCAATACACCCTCTCTCATCAATGTCAAGATTTCTTTTTTTATGACATCCACTATGATGAAGATGGTCGACCCAATAGACACATGCATATTGTGCAGCTGCTAATGGATTCGGACTGGGTGGTATGACCTTCTCAACCGGGAATCCAGGGAGTTTAATTTGGAAGATGTCTCGCCGAAGTGTCTTAGACATGGCTTCAAGAGAACGAGAGAAAACTTTCTGGTGTCCAGCTTCTATACCTCCAGAGAAAACCCCAGTTTGCGTCTCTCTGAGTAGAAATTCCTTTGCAGACTGATGGACGAAAATGATAGTGCTTTCCCGCACAGTCAAAAACGAGCCACAAATCGCGACAATATCTGATAGAGCTTCAGAGTCACCGGCGAGATCATCGGGTAGCTCAACAAGAGAGCCCAGCTCCTCAAACTCGATAGGCCGATACACAAGGGACATGACAGCCAGTATTCGCTTGCAGGACTCGGCATCTTCCGAGTTGCGAACCTGATCGATCATCCGACCGTACAAGGCATTCAGTCCAGGAGGAAACGCCTCCAGCTTCGCGAGAGCGTGCCTCCGCGATGTTCTATCAAGATCTTGACAGACCAAGGCCACCCAAAGGAAAGTTCCTTGCGAGTTGGATGACAAGTGACGGCAGATCTTATCACGAGTTTCATCGCTATGCTTCTTCACTTTCGCCAGGTAGTGAACCTTGTGTTGAATGAATTTGCTCACAGCTTCAGATACAGACGCCTCGTTGAGCTCTAATGAGATCGGAGCGGTATGGGTAGTGTCAAGACGCTCTTCGATATCAGGCCAGTTGCGGCTCGAGACAATCCACTTTATCTGTGGGTAAGTAGACGATACCTGTGTAATCAAGTCGAGAAGGGAAGGTAGGCCTGTTGTGCATTCGTCCAGCGCGTCGATAATCAGATAGGTGCTCGGTAAGGTCGCGTCCTTCAATATATCCGTGAAGATCCTCGAGAGAGCATTCCATGCGTTTATATCCTCAAACAATGCTTTTCCCGCGTGGTCATACTGACTCTTTACGTGGGAGAGAAGAGATGGCTGCTTCTTGACAAGAGCATATATTAAGCCACGAAGGACAGCTGTGGCGCTGTTGATTCGCACGTCGGTAGCTTGGCAGAAAAAGAACGAGATATTCGCAATGTCCCCATACGACCGTGTTAACTCGTCGATGATGCCGCAGAGGAGCATTGTCTTGCCTTTGCCCGGATCACCTCTGATCCAGAGGAGGCAGTTGCTCTGGTTGTTTTGCCATTGTTGAAACTCCTCATTGTCGAGAATCCAGCAGTACGAGTCTTTGAGTAGCCCTCCGTTGGTGTTCTGAATACGATCTTTGTCATGGTGAGGATCGGTCGTCCGCAGATCCCGCAGGCACGCTTGATTCAATGATGTTTCCGATTGTACTAAGGCAGTAACACCAGTTAGTCCCGTTCCAACCGAGCTATGTGCCACCACCTACAGAACTGAGCAGTGACATTCCCATGAATTATACCTCCCTGGAACCCAGAGTTTGGCCCGTCGTATGATATCCTCGATGCCATGATTGTAGTCATGTAGACAGTCGCTCACACATTGTTCAGCCGTCGAAGTACCCCGCGACCATGTGACCTATCAAGCTACGCTAGCAAGCAACCACTCATTCGGATTTCAGGCTCTTTGTTACACTCGAAGAGACAACATGCATCCTTTTCTGTATCTTGCTAAAGTTTAGTGATAGTGGCGTAATTTCACCATGATTTATTTATCTACCCTTCGTGGGTGGGACTACTGCCAATTGTAAAGTGATGGGCACAAGGAGCGAGGGGTTTCGATCGTATTAGTATTTCGAGTAAATTACAGACTGAGACATCATGTGATTTCACCTGACAATACAGTTCGCCATCTTCAGGTACACTAAACTAACCACAGACTAGCGTGTTTCAGAAGTCGGTCTGAGAGATAATCAAAGAGAGTAAAATAGTGAAACTGATTTCGAGCGCGTCTGTACCCCAAGAGTGTCATTCTTTCGATTGGGAATGTGCTGAGTCGATGGAACTGCACAAGCTCTTTCCTTTTTTGGATCAACATAAGGAAAAAATCTGTTTTCAAGGCTTTCAACAAATACTGATTAAGCTTCACCGCATGAGGCGTATGGTGACAAGTATCCGGCATGCTGCAGTTCACAGAATTGTTCAAGATAGGAAATCCTTTCTTGGGATGCTTCAGACAGCTGTTGCTTTTACGCGCTGCATCGGTGATGTTAAATGTACGCAGCAGCTTGGATGCCTCTGCATTTCTTTGGTCACTTTTCTGGCTAAGCTAAACGAGCGATCACATCATCTTCAGGAGAGAATAAGATTTCAAATAAGCCTATGTCAGTCTCGGCCAAAAGAACTGATACAACGGCGCGTTCTTCTTCCAAATGCCATCAAAAAGGTGACGGAACAAAATGAGCAGACGTTCAACTTGCAGGTACAAGAATTTTTGAGGAACAACTTATGCTGAGCGAAATCTTTTTCGAATCCAGCCCTATCCTTTCGACCCACTATGACTACTTGTTATTACCTGGGCATACAGACGCGCTCGAAATCATTTTCCCCAATTTCTTCTCTTTTATTACTTCTCAACGTCTACTTTTAGTAATGCCAGGTCTAGTATAGCTAGCGATATTTAATTGCCCTTTTCCTATTCGACAGTAAATGATGGGCTAGTCCAGGTGTAGGCCGAGATGGGTGTGGCCAAGGCTTAAGAAAGAACCAAAGAGAATGAAATGGTGGAACTAACTTCGAGCGGACCTGTACAGTGTGTAGCCACATTTTAATGTCATGGTCGGCCTTTGAAAGACAAACTCATTGTGCTGTGATATGATGCTGTTGCGTTGCAGCAACCAGACCGTATCATCAGAACTAAACCTTCCGCAGACTCTGCAGGGAAAAAAAAAAAGAGTTTGATTGAGAAATTAGTTGAACCTCGGGCTGTACATGTTTCATTCCTCTCAACCACAAGGAATGTAATAAATCTCTTTATATCGAGGGAGCGTCGACTTAGATTGTACGCACAGCTAAGACGGGATCGATAGCTTATCTTTGGCATATGATATTGTTGGTCCAGATGAACAGCCTGTGGGCCTGGCACTTCGGAAAATAATTTGAGAGTGCTCAATGGCCAATATACAGAGTCAGTTTCGGAGATCCATCGTCTAATCGCTTTTCATAAAAGTCCGGCTCCGTGGAAATGGTTATCTAATCTAGAAAGCAAAAACGTGAATTTTCTTTTACTTCGGAAGGGCCGAGATCATCGATTCGCGGCCTATCTTGTTCGCTGTTTCATCAAACCGTGAATGGAATTGGGTTCCATGGGATGCATATGCGAGATGCCTGCGCTAGGTTCTGCGAGAGATTTAAATACAGCGATGATTCAGTAAATGGAAGTAGCCGTGACTTGTTCAGTCACTTTGCACATGCATAGCTAGTCAGCAACACAGGATATCACTTATAATGTGAGCTAAGTTTTTGGTATTGACTAAACGTTATTACTTGAATCATTTGATTGTATTGTCAATTCTGAAAGTACGCTAGACTCCAAAACTACCCAACGCTGGTCTAAGACGTCTATCGCAGCCGTCAGGTTCAGATCCAGCGTGTGGTAGGATTAACCCGCGGGACATTCCACTGTTCTTTCCAAGCTTGTTCGGCCTGGGCTTCCTGGCTCCGGGATTGCTCTACAGCAACAAACAGTTTGCGGATTGCCTGGA